GAATGAAAGCATGTAATGACAGCTAGTTATTTTATTTTATTTCTTTAATTCAAGGAAAACAGAAGGCACAGCCACTAGCTAAATTAAGAAGAATAAGATGAAGACATATGGATAGATGGGAGCCAGCCCTGAGGAAAAACAAATCAGCTTTTAGTGTCCTGGGGTGAGGAAGAGCAAACTGTGATGGGCCATATGTCCTCACCCAACCACAGGAAAGAAGAGGGAGGATTGGGATGAGCAGGATCCTGCACCAAGCACACTTAAGGCCATCCTGGGGCCAGCTCAGCTGCACTGGGTTGTCCTGCTGGAGATGCATCCCAAGCAGGGCAAACAGGGATGCTCATCCTCTCCAGAGTGGCATTAGAGCATGGACCTTGCAGGACTTTCCAGGGAGAATTTCACAGCCTACCAGGAAAAGCAATGTTTTTGGTGTTTGAAATTTCATGAGCTGCTGGTCAGAGAAGGGAGGACTTTGTCACTGGGGGAGGAGAGGAGGAAAAGTGAGCATCCCTGGAGCAGCAGAGTGCAGGGACACCACAGAGATGAGAGCCATGATGATGACAAACATACGTGGGTTTTCATCCTTTGGCCTCACTGCCAGCAAGAATCTTTAGAGTTTATCAAAATTCTTAGGCTGTCACAAATTAAATAACTGGTTTTAGGAGCAGAGGAGCTGTGGGGGGGCTTCTGTGAGAAGCTGCCAGAAGCTTCCCCAATGTCCAGCAGAGTCAATGCCAGGCAGCTCCAAGACAGATGTGCCACTGGCCCTGTCTGAGCCCATCAGGGACAGCAGTAGCACCTCCGGGGTAAGAGAGTTAAGAAAGGGGAGGAAAAGCTGGCAAAACAGCAAATGGAGACAGGAGTGAGAATATGTGAGAGAAACAGCCTTGCTGACACCAAGGTCAATGAAGGAGGGGGAGGGGGTACTCCAGGAGCAGATGGATGCCAAAGGAGGCTGTGGCCATGTGGGAAGCCCACACTGGAGCAGGCTCCTGGCAGCAGCTGTGGCCCCATGGAGAAAGAAGCCCAGATGGAGCAGGTTTGCTGGCAGGACTTGTGACCCCATGGGGGACCCAGCCTGTTCCTGAAGAACATAAAGGGACCCAGGCTGGAGCAGTTTGTGCAGAACTGCAGCCATGGGGAGTTCTCATGCTGGAGAAGCTCATGGAGGACTGTCTCTGTGGGAGGGACCCCACACTGGAGCAGGGACAGAGTCAGAGGAGTCCTTTCCCTGAGGAGGAAGGAGCAGCAGAGCCAACATGCCATGAACTGACCACAGACACCATTACCTGTCCCCCTGCACCACTGCAGGAGAGAAGGGAGAGAAAATCGGGAGTAAGGTTGAGCCTGGAAAGAAGGATGGGGGGGAGGGTAAATGTTTTTAGAATTTGGTTTAATTTCTCATCATCCTACTTTGATTTGATTGGTACTAAATCAAACTAATCTCACCCTGTCCTTATCTTGACCCATGAGCCTTTTGTTATATTTTCTGTCCCCTATCCAGCCAAGGAGAGGAGTGATGGAGCTTTGGCGGGCATCTGGCATCCAGCCAGGCTCAGCCCACCACAATACCAAAGCCAATATTTTCTTTTTCTGCAGGACTTTTTCTTCCAAGGACTTTGGTTATTATTGAAGAGACATCAAGTATGTGGAACCTGAATTGGCACCATGTTATGGTGGTGTAAAGCCATGGAAAAGCAGAGCAGTGAATCAGGTGCCCAGTCTCAGAAACCCTCATACATTTTCATTCAGGCCGTAATGGAGTTCAACTATTTGGACCACTTAGAAAATGAAGATGAAATGCATAAGGCACCACAAGAGACTTTCAGAAAGGCACACAGCATGACCAAATCCTTCTCATTTTTAATATTTCTATTTCTTCTTCTAAACTTTTTCTTTAAACTTGAAAATAATGAGAAAATGTGCTTCCTTGAGACAAGCCAGTACTATCAGCTAAACAGCCTCACATTCATCGTAGCACTCCAAGTGCTCTGGAATGCTTTTCAGCCCAGAGGATAATAGTATTAGACGCCCAGAAAGGCTGTCCTGTAAAAGACTGTTATTATGATTTCCAGTCTCAGAAGTTGGCTTAATCCAGCTGAGCACACACATGTTATTTAGAGAGGAGACTGAGCTCAGACACTGCTATCACCATCATCTTTATTGCAAATGAAGGGTTCAGCCAGTGAAAGGCAAGTCACGTTTTTTTTGTCCTAAGCCCTGCAAACAGTGGCTGTTGCAATCGTCTTTGCACTTTGCAGCGAGAGTCTGGAGCTGCTGAATGCAGAGCTATTTGCACAGATTTGCATCTGTCTAAAAACTCCTGTTTTCTCTCTTGTCACCTAATCAATCAAACGGTAAAAGATGCGCTCCCTGCACCCTCCAAGGAAAACAGCTCTGTGCCCACACAAAAGGCAAAGCAAGAGCATAGGGGTTAGCTAGAGGTGGTAAGCTGTGAACCCTGTAACAGGAGCAATTTTTTTCACTGCTTGAAATTTCATGCTGCTCTTCCTCTGTCTAAGGAACAAAAGAAGAAAAGGCAGTGATGCTCTGAATTGGGAAAAAATAATCTAGGATTGTTCCCTGCATGAGAAAAATATGTTTGGAGGATTACTCAGGGTAGTTGCACCTTGGCTTGAGGAGGAAAGGCTGCACAGCTTCTCTCCCAGGGTTTAGGCAGAACAGCTCCCTCCCAAAGGACTGGTTCTCCCACCCACACTTCCCCAGGTGAGCAGGACCCATCTCACACTGCAGCTTCCCAAGGAGGAGCAGCCAGGCACCAATTCCTGTGGGTCAGCTTGCAGCTGGCCCCAGTGCTTGGAATTGCTCTAACCTGCCCATGCTAAAACCTGCCAGGGCCACTGCTGCCCCATCCATGGTGGGGGTGAGCCTTCCCACTCTATCCTTTTTGCTCCAGGGACATATTGCATTTCACCACAGAGCACTGGAGTGACGGCCCCATTTGTGAATATCCAGCACAGAATTCCACATATTCATTCTTGCATTGGTAGTGTCTCTGCTAACAGTCCTTGTCAGGGCAGCCTCAGCCACACTTTTGCAAGACAAAACAGCTCAGCCTCCCTCTGTCCTTCCCGTCACCTCCCAAGAAAGGAGCCACTGGGCACTCAGATTCATGCCAGGATGGGAGGGACAGCAGCTCCCTCTCCTTAGTCCCAGGGAAGCAGCTCAAACAAGCTGAACCCCAGTGAGCAGCAGCTCTTCCTGGGCAAGCACTCCTTCCCTGGCACATTTTCCCATGGGAGACAAGCACAGGGACCTTAAAATAAATCTGTCTTTTTAAAGCAGAGATGCTAAATGAAGGTTTGAGATCAAAGGCTGGGATTCTCACATTTTGCCAAGATAGACATATCCATTCACGAGATTTTTGGTGTAACAAAATACTTGCTAATGAAGAGGATCATAATCTTATTATTAGCCCGAACTACCACAGTATGTCATTCAAGAGCGGGTTGGAATATGTCCTAGTTTAGGAAGTTGCACAGTGGATTTTGCTTTTGATTTAATGAGCTGTGATTGTGTTTATTTTCAGCAGCAACTATGCCCGTTAAATTTTGGTTGAAGGTCTGATCGTTAACGACAGTAATCGACGGAAAGGATGAATTTAGGTTGAAGGGGAGGAAAATGGGAATTGTAGTGGGATTCAGTCAACACAGTTTGCTGGGATTCAGCAAACACAAGGTGGTCAGGAGAGCCTGAGCTTTCTCTACTTTTGCAGTGCCTGATGATGGGGTTTTAACTACTGGTTAACTCATTTAGGGGATTCAGACATGGAAAAACAAAGATTTTTGCTGTTATGGAGTGGGGCACAGAGAAGAGTCAGGTGTAGGCAATCAACAGTGGGGGCCAGACTTTCCTTTTGTGGGATGAGCCATGGTGGGACAAGGTCATCAGCTGGCTTCCACTATCAAGACCCCAGAAATTCTAAGATGGTGGAGGGAACACGTCAGTAGTGTGTAACAACTGAACAACCTGCCAGATGAGCAAAATGGAGAAGAAAGGGGAAGAGAAATATAAATTAGACACATACTTAAAAAGAAACATTGCTGCAGCAGAGCTGGTTGGTGTAGGCTCTGCTCTGGAGTGAGAAGGGGCCCCAGGCAGCAGGGTTCCCCCAAATGAACCCTCCCCACTGCTGCCTGCCTGGGTAACTGGAGCTGGCACAACGAGCAAGAAGGGCAGGGCAGGATGGGGCACAACTCAGACCCACCCCCCATCACACCCCTTTTGCAGCTGGTGTCTGTGTCTCGGTTTCCAGCCTTACAAAGGATGCTGTGCTTTGTGTTTGACACCATCAGCCCCAAAGGAGTCCAGCACAGTTTATTTTCCAGCATCAAAGCGTGCACACACAGGCATGTGTATGTATGTACAGGCAGGACAACCATAAGGGGTGTGAAGGAAACACAGACATGGACAGACACGTGGATAGACACACATAGCCAGTTGTAGCCTTTAAAAGCTTGCCGTGTACCATATTAGAATGGTTGTGCCCAGCCTGGACACGGGCTCAGCCGGAGGCTGTTGGCTTGTGCCAGTCAGCGAGGTGTTCTGTGGAGCAGTCACCGACCAGCAGTTTGTCAGCTCCAGCTCCTGTAAATTCCTGTGGCAAGTGTAAAAAATCAATCAACGCGTTGTTCCATTTTAAAAGCTGGTGTTTTTTGACGACGGCCGTCTGTCTGACGGGGCGCCCCTCTTCTCCGCCACGGCGTGCGGGGCTGCGTGTCCCCTACACCCCCGACCCCCTCGGGAAGGGGGGAAGCTGGAGACGACACCCAGGGGCCGCTTGGAGGGGACGGCGATGGGGCAGGAGGACACAGGGAGCTCCCCCGGCTGCCGGGCAGCTCAAGGGGCTCATTGTGCCCGGGGCTGGGCGGTGCTGCCCTCCCCGCGGGCCGGGGCCGGGAGCGGGGCGGGCCGGGGCGGTGCAGGCCCGGGGCCGGGGCCGGGGCCGAGCCCGGGCAGGTCTCCCTCCCGCGGCAGCCATGGCAGAGGGCTCCGAGAAGGTGCCGATCGCCCGAGTGGGGCCCGACGATGTGGAGCTGTGCCTGCCCCCCGTGAGTGCTGCCGGCTGGCACCGGGCGGGACAGGGTGGGATCGGGACAAAGCCTGTGGACGTGGGTTGGGATGGAACGGAACCCAGCGAGTCGGGACGGGATGGGACGGAACGGGACGGGACGGGTTGGTTTGGGACGGTGGGGAACGGGTGGGGTCGGGACGGGTCGCGATGTAGCGGGCCGGATCGGGACAAAACGGGTCGGGTCGGGCCGGGTCAGGTCCGGCCGGGGGTCCCGGGGCGGGGTCCCTGCCGTGTCCCTGCTCCACCCGCGCTCTCCGCAGGCGTACGCGGCTGCCGCGCCCCCCGGACCGGGGCGGCTGCTGAAGGCCGGGGCCGCAGTGCTGATCGCCGGGGCCCTCCTGCTGCTGGCCGGGGCCATCGGCGCCTTCTACTTCTGGAAAGGCACGGAGCGGCAGGTGAGCGCGCCGGGCCGGGCCCCGGGCACGTCCGCACCCGGGCCGGGTGGGCGGGGAGGCACGGGCTGGAAGCGCTCCTTGCGAGGAGGTCTATAAAGAGGTCTTTAAGCAGACCTGTAGGGTTTTTTCCTTTCAAAAACCCCCAAACACCTAAAAACCCAAAGCCATAATCGTTGTCTTTGGTGGCTGTGTGGATGGAGCTTCCTGGAAGCACATTTATTAGCAAACATGAAACACATCTTTGAGAGCACAGACTGCACATTGATTTCTGCTCACAAATCCTCAGTGAACTCAAACCCCAACAAGTCCCTGGGGATTCTCATCCTGGGCAAACTCCAACTCTCAGGACAAAAAAACATTGAAATGTGTAAATTCTTTTTTCATAGCATCTGTATTCTCGGTCCAGATTCTACCTGGACCCTCAAGTATGTAATACTATAATTAACCCATTAACAGGCACTGTTAGTTCTGGTGCTTTGTATGACTGTGCATACACTTAGGTTTGCAGCTGAGGAGCAATTTTTAAAGTTAAGTTTTATTATTTACAGTTTCTGGGGTACATGAGAAACACTTTATGCAAAGAATGAAACTGAGAAGCTGGTGATCAGTTAAAGACTCAAACTTCAGAGCATTATAACATGTTTACAGATTAACTTTTCTTTCTGTTTACACAGAATCTGTGTTTAAAACATATTTGAAACATGATGGTACACACATGAATGTACCATTCTCCATAAATTAAATTAGTACCTTTGAATTTACTTTGGAAGAAGTTTTGTACTGCCTCTGGCCACACGCCAGCCCTCATCAAGGAGAGCCTTGTGTGAATTCCAGCAGCCAGAGCAAAGGTGGCCCTGTGAGATACACCCCTACACATAGGGATAATTCAGATAATCAGAAAGAAAAGTACAAGGTTTTACAGCAAAAAGACAGGACACATTGCTGGCCTCTAAGACGTGCTGCATGAACTGTGTGTTTCTCTGAGCTTTTGAAAAGGGAGAGTGATGCAAACGGTGGCATAGGCAGGGGACAGTGCTTTCAGCTCTGAGCAGGTAGGTGCATTCGTGGAGTACAAGACAATGCTTCCCTTTTTAATGCTCCTGTCATCTAAATTCAGCCATACAAAATATGTCACATTCACAGTTTCCATTAAGCTTCAAAGTTGCTCTCTAGGTGAAGACACTGGGAAAGCTTATTTTTCCAAGCTGCCTTCAAACTCAGAAAGCTGCACTTGAGTTGCAAATGTTTAGGAAGCAACTGCAAAAATTATATCCAGGGTAATTAATTTAAAAAAACTAACAATTTTTAAATTCTTGGTTTTATTTTTTATCTTTAAATTCTTCCCTAAATGATGGGGTATCAAAGTCTCAACTCTAGCTCAGTCCCTGTCAGGGGGAGACCACATACACTGGTCTGGTTTTACAGACCACGTTCAACAGGAATCCTAGAAAGCAGAAATATGGGAGTGGCTGTGTATAACTGAGGAACCATAAATCTTTAGCACCTTAGACTTCCCTGAGCGAAGGTGAGAGAAGAAGAAATTTGTCTCTAGCTGTCAGTGTAAATTTTTCATTAAAATGCTGTAAGGGCTTTTTTAAGACCCAAAATAAACTGCTTGTGCAGCACTTTTAGCAGAGCTGCACAGAATCACAAAACCCCTCCACAGATTGTGGTCCTCCAGCAAATACAAACCGCACTGTAACTCTCCTCATTGAAAATAGGATAAGGGCAAATACGCTGACAAGGAAAATACCAGCCTATACAACTTCACATCCAATTTAAACAAAGTTTACATCCATTACAAGCTGGGAAGTGTGTTCGTATTCAAGAGGAACCTGTTTTCCTGTGCCTCAGCAGAACATCCTAAGAGATAAACAGGGCTTGGCTTCCTTCAGAGTAGGACATTCATGCCTGCTATCCTTTGGGAATCATGCCAGCATAACAAGCAATTCCTAAAATGTCCTAGAAGAGGGTTTTTAGGTCAGAGTGAACATGGCTGTGGACTCACCCCACATTGTTTTTGAAGTAAAACTATAAGCACTCCCTGGCAGGGGGATCTCAGCTCTCTAGTCCTACCTGGTGCCCAGAGCAGGGACAGCTGTGGGGTCAGAGGTGGTTGCTCAGGGCTTTATCCAGTCAGGCTGTGAAAACTTCCAAGGATGGAGACTGAACAACCTCTCAGGGCTGGCCGCCCCACTGCCAGCCGGCCCCAGTGCTGAAGTAGTGCAGTGTTGGTTGCTGAGGGTTATCAAATGCCTACAGCAGCAAAATTTAGGAGCTAAATAGGGATATGAGAGTCAGATTGACCATTGCCTGGTGTAGGAGGAAGGCAATAAGTAATTACTGGCATGTGCTACCACTCTTTTATTGATTCCAGGTGTACAACGTTCACTATACTATGAGCATTAATGGAAAAGTACAAGATGGATCAATGGAAATAGATGCTGGAAACAACTTAGAGACATTCAAAACAGGAAGTGGGAGTGAAGAGGCAGTTGAAGTTCATGATTTTCAGATCGTAAGTAGTGCCACTCTCGTCCTTCACGTGACACACTCCAGCACTGGACTCTTAAGGACACCTTGTTCTGCCCTGACTTCTCTGCCCCACTTAGTCTCAGATTCCAGCCTCCAACCATCCACACAAACATTTTTGCTCTCCTGGCTTGCATTTCCAGGGAGACAGGCAGTTTCCTCCTAAACAAAAATCAAAGTGCTTTTTGGAGATCAGCCATGCCAGGTACCACTCCAGGAACTGGTGTGGATTAGGCTATGTCGGGTTTGACTCCATGTAAATGCTTTGCATCTTCAAACCACTGAGCAGAAATGTGACATGTGACCTTGGGGTCTCACTAGAAAAACATTCTGTCAGGCTGTGACACAACTCTTGCATGATTTCATGTGGTTTGAACTGGCAGAAACACCTCCCCCAGACATCCCTGTTTGAGGAGCAGAGGGTCAATACAGTAAGCCAAGGAGACACCGAGGAGAGACCACTCTGCAGTGCTTGACCTGGGGAGCTTCCTTTGCCCTGAGGTCAAGGATGGGAGCTGGTCTCCATGGCTTGGCCTGGTTTCATCCCCATGCATGGCAGAGGATGGAGGCATTTGGCACAGTTTATGCATCTGTGCACCAATGCCAGGTGCTGGGCCCCTCGGGCTGACAGCAAACACACTTGGGCACCCCAGCAACTTGTGGCAACTCAGCACAGAGCCTGGACTGACAGACGCCAAACCTCAGCAGAGCTCAGCAGCTCGGACAGAGTAGGTCTCTGAGCTGCCCTGAGCTACTAAGGCACATCTGTGTGATGCTGCACAAACCCATCACAGGGCCCAGAGCCTGCAGTTAAATGTTCTCAGGTGCAAAACACTCAGCCTCAGAGTTAAGCCCTCTGTAAGTCAAAGCAGTACCTAAAACAAAGATGCTGCTGCTAGGAAGCATCTCTGCTTCTGGAGCAGCCACCTTTCCCTTGCTGGATCTAGAAAGGCAAGGAAACCCAGCTCCTTGGCTTTTCAGCAAGAACAAACAAATCTGTGCCAGGAGATGCTGGACCCCCAACTTTTCCTACAGCTGTGGTTCTGCCTTTATGCAACTCTCATTAGCATCACCATAGCAACATTATCAGCAGCTGAGTAAGAGCATCCACAGCGAGCTCTTCTCATTTGCCTTTGCCATTTCACATCTGCACAGAAGCACAGTCCACTGGAGAGATGCTGAATTCATGTTTGCTCCACGTGTGTTGCTGCCTATGAGATACTGCCTGTCACAGCCAGGTTACAAATCAGCTCCTAACACCAACCAGCTCAAGGGACCTCCCAGGGACGGTGCCTGCTTGTAATTACAGAGGGCCAGGGACAACCTCAGCAAAGGGATGATGCCACTTGGGTTTTCAGCCAAGAATGCACACAAAGGAGAAAGCAACTGAAGAGAAGTGCTTCCAACAGACTGGTATTTACATTAGCAGTTTTGGATGGACTGGCACTGCTGGAATGACTGCATGGTCAGAGAAGGCTTGGATTTGGCAATAGTAGGGGTATTCCTAGAATATCTGGTACACCACAAAGCTTTATATCCTAATGCACCCATCCTTGGGACAGCCATCTCCTCTCTCACTGCTTTTTGTAGTCATTTTGTTGTGAAGGGGGTGTGTCCAGCTACACAGGACCTGCAGACACACAAGACATGGCTCAGGTGCCCCAGTACCATCCATCTCATGCTGCACTGCATCACAATGTGCTGAGTTGGAAGGGACCCACAAGGAACATCAGGTCCAAATCCTGGCACAGCACCATCCCAAGTGTCACACTGTGTGCCTGAGAGCACTGTCCAAATACTTCTTGGTCTCAGCCAGGCTGGTGCTGTGACCACTTCCCTGGGGAGCTGTTCTAGTGCTCAGCCACCCTCTGGCTGAAGAACCTTTTCCTGATATCCAACCTGAACCTCCCCTTATACAACCTCAGGCCATTCCCTGGGGTCTTGTCACTGTCACCACAGAGAAGAGATCAGTGCCTGCCCCTCCTGTTCCTCTCATGAGGAAGCTGTAACTGCAATGAGCTCTCTCCTCAGTCTCCTCCAGGCTGAACAGACCAAGTGACCTCAGCTGCTCCTCATACAGTTTCCCCTCAAGGCCCTTCACCATGTCCCAAACCCTCCTTTGGACACTCCCTAACAGTTTAATGTCTTCCATTGCGGTGCCCAACGCCGCACACGAAGGCATCCATGATACCCCTTCAAGGCAGATGAGAGGGGACATGCTGACACCCACACCCCTTTCTGGCAGCTAGAGGCCAGGCAGAAAACCAGCACAACTTAAAGGGCACTAGGTAATTATATTTAGGTGGTTGACTGGAGCTTGGGCAACCACATGAAAAACACAAAAGTTTTGCCATTTACAACAAGCTATCTAAATTTATAATGTAGAAGAGAGCTCTTTTATGGATACCCAAAACCTACAGTAGAAATGTAGATGCTACAATGGCAAGATGTTGATGCCCAAGGTTCTGGCATGGGCTGGAAGGTACATCCCAGGACTCGCAGGAGACTTGCTCCTTCTCTTGCTTAAAACTAGACATTCATGGTTTATGCAATTACATTTCACCCTAGTAGGCCAGACAAAGTCCCATACACAGATTTCTGCACCAAACTGCCCGTCACAAACTTCCCTTTGCTGTCACAGTCACTTATTTGTACAGACTGAACCAAACTGCCCCCACATTTTTGTAAAACTGTGTCACAAGGGTACTATGCCACCAGCTAGCACAATTTCAAGACTGCCTACGTTAGGTGCTAAGTTACAGTTCAAATCATGTCAACTAATTCCTTAACAGAGCTACTCCAAGTAGCCTACAGCCTGCATGGAAGCACTTACATAAAACACCCCCCCACTTTCAGAAATCAAGCAAAAACTTCTAGACCAATTGGACCAAAACTGTGAAGCTAAAATGATGAAGGGAAGAGCATTTTATTGCTTCTGGTTTTAAATAAGGTTAGCCTTCAGACTGAAAATTCAGTGGCAATTTTTGGCAGAGCTGAGGCACTTTCTTGGGGGTGGTGAGGAGCTGGAGGGCTGTGCACAACCCTCTGCCTTCTGCTTTTGCAGGGCATAACTGGGATCCGTTTTGCTGAAGGAGAAAAGTGTTACATCAAAGCTCAGCCAAAAGCTCACATCCCTGAAGTTGATGCTATGGCTAAAGCGAGCCTCTCATCTGAGCTGGTAAGGGGTAGTTTGTTGGTTTTTTTAAACTAATCTTTGTATAGAGAGAGCCTAAAGGAGGTACTTAAATACAAATAAAAATTACATTTGGAAGCCACTCTGGCTCATGGTAGGGACAGGGTGGGATAGCTGGGATTCAGCTATTGCCTGGTTGCAAGAAGTCCCTGAAAGGTAAGAAAAACAAGGTTGGTGTCAGACATGTCACTGTGTCCAGGGACATCATGAGAGGCTGCAGATTAGTGAGGGGGGAAGCCACAGACTGATTTCTGCCAGATCCACAGGAGATCTCCATGACAAGAGCACCTGCCTGAGACCAGGCTGTGCAGAAGGCTGGAAGGGAGGGTGTGGAAGAAGTAGCTGCTGTAGTCAATGCAAAGGAGGACTGTGGTAGATCCCAGGAGATTTCTGTCAATGCTCTTGAGCAGAAACATGAACTCCATCACTCTAGTCAGTAAAAGGGAATTGTGGAAAACATGGCAAAAATTAAAGTACCTCAGAAGAAATAATTTATTTTAAAAAATATGACTTAGCCTTCTTAGCATAAAAATTTTACATGTTAATTAAATTTCATAGAATTTGCATCACAACCAGCACAGAAGCTGCAGTTCTCACCCAGATACCACCAAATCTCCTCACATTTGCCCAAAAAGCTGATTGCTTTATGTGCTCAAAGCCCGAGTTTCCCAGAGCTCAGACCTCCAAAGTTATTGCTCACACAGGAGTGACTCCAGTGACTTGAGTCCAGCTGAGCCTGGATGCAGCTGGAGGCTCAGTCATTGGCAGGAGAGCACAGAAGATCCACAGCCCCTTTCCCTGGGTTTGCTCTGCTCCTGGGAGAATAAAAGCAAGATACAATTAGCGGGGAGAGAGGGGCTGTTAAGGCTGCACCTCCCTGCAGTGGTGCTGTGACTGCTGAACATCTGCTTTAAAATTAAGGGGAAAAAGATCTTTCCTAACAGAGTCAGAAAGGCTGACAAATGTTACAAAGCCTCCTGAAACTGGCAGGATTTTCCCCATGATGGGAAAGAGAACTTGCACGAATTCCAGACAGTTCCATCTTTCCTGCCTTGCCTTATTTTAAAGGCAGCTGGCCTTGACTTAATTAGTGCAATTGCTTGAAGTCAAAGTTTGAATTTTTCATCTTTTTGTAAAAACAAAGTCACAGACCTGAAGACACTATCCTAAATAATCAAAAACTTATTTCTAATTCTACCTGCTGACAGTAAAACTATTTCCTTGTCGTGTTTTTTGTGCATCTTCTCCCAAGATACATCACCTATGTGACTGTTGCAACGAATTGCATGCACCAAGCAGCTTAGTGCTACCACTAAGACATTAACTTTTCCCTGTCACTCAACTTTCCAGGCCAGATGTACCACAGGAACGGCAAAGTAGTATTTATTTTTCTGGGCCAAGTCATCTCTCTGATATGGAAGTATTTAGGAGGAAGTATGCATATGCTGTTTTCCTGCAATGGGCATCATAGCTACACTACCTACAAAAATTGCTGAGTAAAATGAGTTTTATAGATACCCACGTTCTGGCTGCTCACAAGTCAGGATCATTTCAAACAGAAACAAAGGATATTTTTATTTCTGAAAATTAGAGTCAGATATTTCTGATGTTGATAAAAGCTTAAGTGGAAGAATATAAATAAAGAGCAGTAGACAGATTGGATAGCAAACTTAAATGACTTGAGACCTACAAAATAAATCAATAAACACTAAAGAAACAGCAACTCAAGGGAATAAATTGATCTAGTCAGTTATATAACAAGTCTTGATGACTTTTATGAAAGCAATTTAGAATTTTAACTTTGAAATCATGCTGGTTTTCATGATTCAAAAGTTAGTTTTCTTTTAATATTTCACCGTTGCTATAAAATACTTACACATTTTATGTAAAATAATACTTTGAACTAACAACTTTAAAGAATCAATCACTGGCATTTTCCTACATTACTTTGAAGATATGAACCAAAAACCTGCAGGGTACACTTCAAAAAGGCAGGCTCCTTTAACTTGCACTTCAAGCTTTTGGTCAATTGAATTGCTTTTACCAAACAAGACCTTTAATCAGACCGATCACATTGACTTAAAACTGGAAGCTGGAGCAGTTCTCAAGCTATAATCCTCTCTAAAACTTTTGAACAACATTCCTCCCCTCACCATCACCCCCCTCCCCCATACACACATTGTAAATAGTTATATATTGAGAGTATGTCAAATGAGAACAGAGCATAGGAAAAGATGAAGGACTTGGGTTTTGCTGGTATTCCATTGCTGCTTTGCTGAAGGTGGTAGAACTTTGGTTTCTACCACCTGAAATTCTGGTGCTTTGGGCACAAAGACCTCTGTCACCCAGCCCTCATGCATGGGGCAGAAGCCTTCCAGGAGTGAGATGGGTGAAATCACAGCCCCAGCAAAGCTGACAGAGGCTTTGCCCTTCATTTCAGTGGAGGCAGCCTTTCCCCAGGCTTTGGCTCAGCACGATTCCCTCACATTCATGACATAGAAGGATGCTCAGTATTAGTTGCAGCAGATAATTATACAGTTTGGTGCTCAAGAATTAGCAGTGAGCAGGCACATGACTGCTCACTGAGCAGCAAAGGATTTATGCTCTTCTATTTGCAGGAAGATGAAATCATGCCTGTGAGATTTGACAAAAACTCCCTTATCTGGGTGGCTGCAGATGAGCCTATCAAGCATAACAGCTTCCTAAGCCCCAAAATTCTAGAGCTTTGCAGGGATCTTCCAATTTTCTGGCTGCGACCAACATATCCCAAAGGTAACATTTCTTTTATTTGAAAAGTATGTTATCCCTCCCTTCATCTAAATGCCTTCCCTTCATCAGGTTTGCTACTGAAACTAGCACATCTGGGAAACCAGGCTCCTTTCCTCCCTTGCCCACGCCTTCCTGGGCTTGTGCCAAGATTGTGGGTTTGGAGTTTATCCCCTAGATATTTTCCATCCTTGTATTTACTCAGACAATTTGCATAGCCCAAGTGGGTGACTCGCTAGGAAATGAAACATTTCCAGAGAGGTTAGTATACTTCTAGAGAAGGACAAGACAACAGCTTAAACTAGCCCCCTTAATGTGTAGGCAGCTGACACCAGGTAGCAGGAACACTGGCCAGGAGTTTGGGACCATAGCCTGTCCTGTTTTCTACCCTGCTTCCCCAGAGGAATTCAGTGGAGTGGAAGGAAGATGCTTTAAGCCAGCCAGCTGGTGGGTGGTTTATGAGACCCTGGGGCAGTCCCAGCTCTAAACTTGGGGCCTATAGGAAAGCTTAGCAAAGGTGTTCAGGAGTCACCAGGAAGATGGCAACTCCTCCAGGTAACTTCCAGGCTTTGGAGGAGAGAAGGCTCAAAAATATGTATTCCTCCTTGGTCCAGTTAATATCAGAACACCCAGGTGGGACAACACATGTGGAAAAAAAATTAACACATTTTAGAGCACCTGTGGACCCAAGCTACCAATATTTTCCACTTCCCTTCATGATCTTGCATATCCCACCTGGCAACAAAAGAGCAATATCAAAGCTGTCCAGAACCAGATATCCTTGAGAGCAGGGCACCATCCTGCCATAAAAGAATTTTGAAAAATAAGTGAGATGTGAACAGGTGGTCTTGCTAGTGCTGGAAACTGCTGCTGGGCTAATATCTGGGTCAGTGACTACAGCTGGGTCAAAAAGCCCCCAACAAATCTCAAATTTTGCCTCGAGGAGAGAAGAGGGAGGGGGGAAAGGCAATCACACTGCTTTGGACAGGCACTACTGTTGCAGACACAACAGAGGAAGGCAAGCAGCTCCCATGGCGATGCATGTCAAGTTTGCCAAGGCACAGTTTTGGCTTTCTCTCTGCCATCCATCCTCTCCTTTTTTAATATTTAAAGAAATCACTGAAATATTAGGTAACTACAATGATACACTCAAGGTAAGATTGTCCCTTGGTGATTATTCCTTCAGATAACCAAAGGAGACAAATGAAGAGAAACAAGCGCCAGTCAGAACCAAACTTCGATGAGGAAGACTTGGAAGCTGCTTCTGAAGAAGTAAACCCCAGGTCACGCACCGTGCAGCTGACTCAAGAGCTTGGCCACCAGGCTAATGAAACCAGGCCAATGGGACAAGAAACTGATCAAACATTTAATCCAGACAACCCATACAATGTGAGTATTTACACTGTAATCTTCCTTCAGAGCTCAGGACTGTGTTGGACAGGAAACACTGGTAATGTGGGGCTTGTCATTATTTTTTTTTATCTGCACAGTCTTTGCTTGTTCAGCTGTTCTAGGAAATAATAGACTGGTAAAACACCTAAGAAGCTCAAAAATGTCTTCCCTCTGTCCTCTTCTCCCAGTTTTAGATTTCTGAAACAACTCTGAAACAAGCACAAGTGCTTGAGATCACAAGGTTAAGGCAAGTTGATGCCAAGTTTCTTTTTGAAGCTTCCAGATCCATATGGAAACAGCACTGGAGATATGACAAGGGTAGCACCTTCTAGAAACAAACCAAAGCTGGTCTTGATCAGACAGCTGAGACCCATCATTTACTATGTGAAGAGAGTCCAGTAGCTAGAAACATGTTTTGCTCTCAAACAGAAATTAGTACCAGACATGACTGCCACAGGGAAACACAGCAGAAGTGTTTGGGTGCAAAGAGATAAAGGTTCAGCCAAATAAATTTCTTTCTCAACCTCTTCCCTGTGAGGGTAAGCAATCCTAGACTAGCAATAACCTGACAGAGAAGAATCTGCTTTGAGACAGCAGCAGTGGGTGGAGGATGACTGTCGTAAAACTCGTTCTCACCCTTCAAGAAGCAGCAGCCCCCAGAAAGAGCAGAGGAGCCACCCTGCTGTGTCCCAACACCTCTGCCACACTGCAGGAACACTGGCTGTGCAGGAGGCACCTTCCAGTCTGCTGCACCAGCGCCAGACAATTTACACCCACCATTTGGTGCAGCAGGAGTAAGTCATTTTAATACAACACTGTCACAAGATAAATGCCTCCTGCTTTGGAAGTAAGTCCCAGCTTTGACTTGACATTTATGCAACAGCAGGAGATCATTATACTGTGACAGCATTCTGCCGAGTTGACATCCCTTAATTAAACTTAAATTAATCACTCCAAATAAAGTGGATCTAAATCGACTCTCTCACGAGGTCAGTAAAACAGCAGTGGCACTGGAATGTAGTTTCTCCTCACAGCCACTAAGGTGACCATCTCCATGAGGTCTGAGCTGCCCTGCCTCTGGAGGCACAACTTCCACAGGTCTGCTCTTCCAGCCAGGGGCAGCCGGGCCAAATGGAAAAGAGCCAGACAGAGGCAGCCATCAGGCTTCCCTCAGCCTGCAGGGCAGGGGTTGCCCTCACCAACAGCTACTGCACCAATGCCTATCACCAGGCTTTCTTAGAGACCAGCCACTGGACTGACAAGCACCATTCATTATGCTCCAGGCCTCTCCTGAAGGATGAAATGAATCCTCCCTAGAGCTATTTCTCTTTACTCACTGTAAGTGGAGCCTGGACAATGAGCTCAGGTGATGTTCATGGTGCAGGTATCTGAATTCAAGGATGATGAATCCTGACCAAGAAAACATCTTCCCTGCTCTCAGGACTGGGAAGGAGTTGCTGGGGTCCCTAAAAACACCCAGCTGTCACTAGTGTCCTGTGCAAGCCCAGACAAGGGGTGGCACCTTTCTGTGTCACTTTTTTTGTTGTGCCGCTACTTTCCAAAAATGAATGGCAAATGGTCAGGTAAAAAGCTGACTGGTACTTCAGCATTTGTGCATTTCTGCTGCTTTTCTTGAAGTAACACCAATGGGCAAAGAACAACCCAAGTTTCCAAAAGCAGAATATCAGGTTACCTTTTTTTCCCCAGAAATGAGGAATTTTGAAGGGTAAAGGCTTTTAAGTATTTTGTGCATGCTTTGCTCCATATAACTCCTTACTGTCAGCTACAGAACAGACAATTCTCACTGTCAACAATGCACCTAAGTGTAGTGGGGTGGGAGGGATGGAACCAGACTCAGAGACAAGAGCCAAATCCTCAGAAAACTGCAGGGGACCAGAGGAATAGTTTCCTAAAAGTGCTGTAAAAAGCATTAAAATACAGAATCTAAAATGATCATAAAAACCACATCATATATTTCAGGAATTCTCACCTACATTAAAGATTCAGGTAACTATCTTGAAATCATTTCTGTCACTAATATTTAAAGCTTGGGAGGAGCTTACTGTTGCTGGAGCTTTTCCAAGGGCAGTAGAATAAAAATAACGAAGTTAGACCTGCCTGTTGTTCTTTCCATTTTGCAAGGGTGATCGCACCAATTCTATGCTTCTGCCAAAGAGAGCAAGTCAAAAGAAAAAATAATAAAGCAAGATGCATGGGACACTTAGTGGGAGTTTTGTCAATTTCCACAGCCCAAGACTGCAGGTTTTACCCTTTGTGGGGTTAAGGGGAGCATGGATGTATTCTGCTATTCCATGAGAATGAGAGCACTGGGATGACATTTAATATTTCACATTGCAGCAGCTGGAAGGTGAAGGGATGGCCTTTGACCCCATGCTGGATCACCTGGGCGTGTGCTGCATTGAGTGCCGGCGCAGTTACACGCAGTGCCAGCGGATCTGCGAGCCCCTCATGGGCTTCCAGCCGTGGCCCTACAACTACCAGGGCTGCCGCAGCGCCTGCCGCGTCATCATGCCCTGCAGCTGGTGGGTCGCTCGCATCATGGGCGTTGTGTGAGGAAATCCCTTGAGCAAAACAAAACAAACTCAACTGGAGCCTTGACAAAATGAGCAGGAATACAATGAACTGGTAAAAGACTAAAACCAAAGCAGCGGTACCGATCCTGCCTTACAAAATCAGAGCCTGTTTTTCTGCACCAAAAGCAAGGTCAGATATTCCAACTGCAAATTAAATGCTCAAGTTAATATTCCATTAGCTTTACAAGAGGGAAGGGTATAATAGCACTTGCTGAATTAAAAAACTGAGACATCCCGAAAAAAGACAACATTAAACTTCTCTCAAAATTGGTTTAGCAGTCCAGAAGCTTGCCCATACATCTAAATTCAGCCTTTCAAAACAAACGCCTCTCTTTCCAAGCTATATGTGAAAATTTACACCCAATTAAGCAACTAGCTCAACTTGTACACTTGGGAGTGCCTTTAATCCATGTAGCTTACTTAAATAAATCACAACTTAAGTTGCTCCCTGTTGCTATTCAGAGCTGCCAGGTCATTATGAATGGTTATAAACCAATTACAGCATACCTTTCCCACAAAGCTGCTCCAGGGGACACGGGAAAGCGCACATTGTGCTAAATCGGAAACAAACAGCAGGAAAAGGGGCTGTGGAAGGGGATGTGAGTGGCCGCAGAATCAAAACCCTTTGCACATCCCAACATCAAAGAAGCCCCAGCATCAAGAATCCTGTATCCATGATACCACTGTAGTGTCTAACAAGTATCTGCTATCCAGCTACTACAGCAAAAGTATTTACATGCAGTTACAGACCAAGGAGTCTCAAGACCCTTCAGAATGTACAACAGCCACTGTTATTTATAAATCCTTGAACTAGACACATTTGACACAAGATTACAACCCCTCTTTATTTCACATGGATAGCAGCCATTCACACCAGTTCCTTTAGTTTTGCTGAAGCTCACATCCCTTCCCCACAAGAGAAACTGTTTACCAGAAGGAAGGGGATAAAAGAAAAGCCTTTTTTTTTTTTTTCCCCTTTCCTTTCTCACCTCACCCTTTTTGCTAAGGCAAACTCTGCAATTACTGGGATTGATCCTATTACACATTAAATCTCTAAGGAAGGTACTAAAATGAAACACTCAAAGGTGGAACAATTTAGTATTTCTAGCCTTGAAAAACAAAATTAGTGGTATTACACTGCCTTTATCAATACTATGTATCTTGAACCCTACCTTCAAGTTTATGGAGCCATCTACATGATATCTACAAACTGGTTCAGCTTTTCCTAAAGTCTGCTTTCTGCAGCATTCATTTTTGTGACTAAACAGCTCTTGAGATGTTGCAAGCCCAGTAATGTTATTAACACTGCGTGACACACAAAGGAGGAATTAATTTGACATAATCGTGGCTTAAAGAAAATAAAGACAACCTCATGTGGAATGCTAAACTGCATAACTGAAAAGCAAAGTGTTAAATGAGAATAAGATGAGAGCAGAATTCAGTATTTTGTTCTATTGTAGCTTTTTAGTATAAACTTCACCTTCCCTTAATCTGAAGGACAGACTTGCTTTGAAATATTTAAATTACAAACTTCTTAAAGTGGGATTTCAAGGCCTGTTAAATTTGAGTTTCTGCTTTTTAAACTGAAAATGACCTTGATCATTATGTTGTTTTAGAAGTACATCTATCATATGCTTAGAAAAGTCAGTTTTCCTTTTTTTTTTTACTGCAGATTAAACAAACACATGAAAAAAAACCCAGTTGCTTTCTGTGCTTTTTTCAATGTAGAAGGTGTAACAATACTTTCACACACTCGTTAAAGAACTGTCTGAGGAAGAAAAGAAGGGCATCAGCAAGGGGAACACTGGAGGCAAAGAGAGAGAAATATGACTGTGTGTATGTCTAAACTAGAGTGTTGCTCTTTTGCATCTTGAGGCAACCTGTCATCTGCTTCTCTCTGTGTCCCCCAATAAAACAGCCTCCTTCTGAAGACACAAAAACAACTTTCTTGTAGGTGATTTCCATATCTACACATACTTAAGAGAATTAATTTTGAACAAAAGCTTGTAATCATTTGCTTTCTATAGGCAGTCACACAGCATGTAAGAAGTAAAAACAGCATCCTGCTCATGGATATAGAGATGTCACATATGGCATGTACATCTCAAGAACATGTCTGTATACACCATGCCACAAAAACCACAGTGACCATAACATTTATCCATTTCCAAGAGGTAGGAAACAAAATGCCTCCTCCAACTCAAGCTTCTAGCAAGCAAATTCCTATTTACATTCATATTGGATTCAAAGAGAGAAAAGTAAAGATCTCATGCTGCAGCAAGGTTGGGAAAAACCAATCTTCCCTTCAAAATCTGATTTTGAAGGTAAAAGTTCTGAGACAACACAGGGATGGCAGTAAAACCAAAAAGCCATCAGTGTGAAAAGATGTTGTGATATTCCCTGTGGTTGTGGCTGAGACTCCAGCTCTAACCATGCACAGTGATCCTTTCACTACTGTACACTATTTAGTACCAGTAAAGTAGTTTCTCACTGCCATCACAAATGTCATGCCTTGGCACACTAAAGAGGTTACAACATATCACCATTTGGGGAAGTATGGAGCAGGGTGTTCCTTGAACCTGACCCTGGGCCAGCAGAAAACAACTGATAGCCTTCCTTTGGCCAAAGTTTAGGGAAAGAGAAGAGGAATGAGTTTGTCATCAACAGTGTCTCCCACCACAGATGGGTGTATGTTTGTCACAGCACTGCAGTTCCACTATCCTTAAAACTTAATTACCCATGTGATTCTACTAGGAGGATTAGAATGGCAGAGCAGATTAGAGCAGAAAAAGGGGATAAATTCAGGCTGGTGAAAAAGAGATGGAAAACAGGGAGCAATCTCATATGGTTAAATAGATTGAAAGCCAGTGATGGGAAGGCAGGAGGAATCTTTTTACTAAATCTACAGTTTCCTTTCTCCCCACTTAAAACAAATGAGCCCTTTGTCCTTTTTCATACAGGAATCACCCTCCACTTGTATCTACATTGAAAAAGCAAAAAGCAGCTGGGAGCCATGGGGTGATGTGGCTTCTACCTCCCATGTAACACTTCACCCCTACTGCAGCACAAAAAAAATTCCAAGAAAGTTTCAGTGAAGAACAGACTAAGCACTTGTTCCATGCAGTGCGGGGGAAAAAAAAAGTAGCGAAGCATAAAACTACAGTTGGCAATGAACTGATTGCTGATTGACATGTCTGGGTGGACAGAATCTCTGCTCAGAAAGGGCAAAAGAGAGACTGAACCAGGAGCACCATCTTCTGCTTCTGAGAGGCTCAGCTGGCCTTTTACAAATACACATCTACAAACTGGTCTTCCACAAGCACATATATCAAAGATGAGAGGCAGCCTTAAGCTGCAGCAGGCATCTTTTCCCAAGAGCAGGAGCAGAGAGCAATCCCATCTATGGTATTAAATGGGCACTGTTACATCTTGCTGTCCTCTTCCAGTATTTCCATCAGTACACAGATCACTGAGGTCATCCCATCACTTCAGAGCACGGAGGTGACACTGCCTTGGCCTTCCAGACAGCACTTTGTACAGATGACCAAAGGGCTTGGGGAAAAAACCCTCAAGCAATTTGAATGCAATTATGATAAAACATCATCCACTCTGTCCTTGCAGGCAGTTCCCTTCCTCCAGCCAACTCATCATCAGTGCTGCTACGTATTTCACTCACCCTCTCCAGTTCCAAAGGAAATTCCCTTTGTCACTGGTTTGTTTTTCAGAACCTCTATTTAACGCCCAAGCTACTGCTAGCATTCTCTTGATCTACAGCTTCTGGTACCATTTTGTGTGTGTGTGTGTGTTTTGAGAAGAACAAAACACTCTGTTCATGAAGTTCATGAAGCACCTTCCCCCCCAGCTTTCTAAGGAAATTTTGCCTACTGATTTAATCCAATCCCCTCCAAACAAAAAACCCAACACCTCTTCCCCCCACACACTCCCCTCTACCTATAAGGCAACAAGACATGCCATTATTGATTAACCTTAACTTGAAGGAGGAACACACACAGATTACCTGCTGGTGCTCAGAAACATGCTGGAATTATGTCTAGACCTGCAAACTTGGTTTACAAGATTGAGATGGACAGGGAGCTCTACCACTTGATTGCTACAAGTTTTAGCCTGAAGCTAAAGCATTATATTTGCATTACATATGCCTCAAGAGTACGTAAGTAGCAATGCATTTAATTTTACTTTTTGCCTTAAGCTAAGTGAATTGAATCTCAAAGCAGTGAAACAGTACCCACTTAATACAAGAATATATTGTGTTTATCTGACATAATGGTCCCATGGTCTTTCAGTAAGCCAAGGAACCTCTGCTACATACTCTTCAGTAAGAAAGAGCAACTTGATTGGCAGAAAACATCTTCAAATTATTTTTTAATTTCTATTTAAGAGATGTTTACCTAGGCTTTTCCCCACAGCAAGCCTTTTCTAAGCTCTGTTAAGTACTCTGAATGACATTTATAAAGCAAAGCTGGCCAAGAGACAAGAACCCAATTTTGTGACAAAGTGAAGCACTCAGACATTTGTCTTCCTTCTACATTAAAAAGAAAGAAATGCTTTTGCGCATAAATAAAAAGCAGCAAAGCACTTATCTGGGAGAGTGGAGTTCAAGCACCTATTCCAAATCAAATCAACTCCAATGTTAGCATCCCATATGGATGGGCAAATGCTCTACATATCGAGCAACCAGCTACTCAGAATTCTCTGAAGGTCAAGAAAAGCCTCACACCAAAGCTAAAAATTCTCCTCTGAAACATGTCCCAAGTTCATGCTTTGGGAAACTTCCAAGAAGCAGACACTTTTCAGTAAATGTCAAGAGGTAAGGTACACAAAACCCTTCCTAAATCCCATCCACCTCGGTTCATTGCATTCCAAGAGCAGGGTAACATTTGGTTCTGAAGGTTACCAAATTTGAACTTTGGAAAACATGTATCAATTCTGAAGCCAGAAGTGAGGCAAAAGAAATCACTGCCCAGCCTGCACTGCATCATCATGATCTCAGTGCATCAAGAAACTGCAATTATGTCAAGACTTGTAGTCATAGTCTACATCCAAAAAATCCCTCTCTCTTTAACATTTGTAAGATTTTTAAAGCCTCGGTATCTCTCTACTGCACAAGCATAGAAACAGTAGTGGGGAAAAGCCACTGCACTTTCCCAGCATCACTGCAAAATCTCAGCAGGAACAGAATAGAGCCTTCCTTCCTCCTCTTTAATTTTCAATCATCATTTAATACCTAACAGCTGCAGACTTCACTCATGCTATTAAAAACACCTGTTCTAACAGCCTTTCTATTTTACCAAGCTCATCCAGTTGACACTGTAGGAAAATAACACGTCCAATACAAAAACAACAGGCAGAATAACAAATGGTCTGGGAAACCCCACATCATTAGGAAAGCAAGGAGAAGTAGCAAACTTAAAACAGCATCCAATGGTTATTAGCAAGGAATGAAGTTGCTTTCATGGCACTGTCAATATTTGCAATTCATGGTGTTTCTATCATTACAACATACTCTGAATTCCCAAGAGACAGTGGCACACAGACAAGGCACATTTAGTACAACCTTCTGAGTTCATCTGCCATGGAATCACAGAAAGGCTCAGGTTGGAAGGCACCCCTGGAAGTGCCCTTGCCCAACCCTCCTGCTCAAGAAGGGGCATCTCAAGGCAGGTGCCCAGGAGCATATCCAGATGGCTTTTGAGCATCTCCAGGTCCCTGCAAACTTGTATTCAGGAAGTACAAGCACAGACAGTACATAGATTCTCAATTCCTTTTCTCTATTGTTATTTACAATTTGATCATGACAATAAAGCTGCACTAATGGAAACAATTAAGGACATACAAGTTGCTCTTTAAACAGTTTCTATTATTCAGAAATTAGGTAACTTAAAGCAACTGCTTGCTGGCTTTGATTCCAGGTAAATTTATTTTGAATTTAGAAGGTAGACAGAGGACCTACTTTTCTGTAAAAATTTCCAGTCACAACAAATTTGCTATCTTCCATGACTGTGACTACAATTCAACTTATCACAGAGGTGGAAGGACTCCAAAGTGGGTGGTTTGTGTCTGTATCAAGAATAGTAATCTCATCCTCTTCACTGAATGCACATTTAGCTCCTATACATGCCAGCTTTTCTTTTGAAGCAGTACATTCACATCCTTACCTTATCCTTACCTATATGCTTAAAGTGATTCCCCTATCAAAAAAAAAAACTAAAAATCAAATAAAGCAGCTTCCTTATAGAAAAAGTTGTATTTACAGTTTTATTTAGCAGAGTTAAGGAGCAAACAATTTTAACACTGTTGTGAAAAGTGTTTTTACCCAAAATTGCCAAGATCTAATAAGTTATTGAACAGAAATACCAGGTGTAAGGCAATAATCATGACCAGCCATTAGAGATCACCCTATCCCAAAGAGGAGAGCTGATAAAGGTGGTAAAAAATTTGGACTGATGGACTCAATTCCCAGAAATTAAGACAGATGATAAAAATAGGGTTCCACTCTTGAGTATATCTTTAAGATCTGCAGGTGAGGGAATTTCTAAAGCACGCAAAATGTACAGACAATTCCTGTTTTCAAGGGAACATTCAGTGCTTTGAATCCAAGAATGCTATGTCCATACATAGTGGTCAGTACATGACTATGGCAACACATAGATGGTAAAGATCAGAAAGAGGATTAGAATTTTTTCCATTCCACGTCATCAGGAGGATTTACTTCTACCTTCCTTTTACCAACATCAGACCAGTTGGTGCTCAGAACTGTGCCACCAGACTCCATCTGCAATATGAGAAAGAGCTTGTTTAGTTTGCTGAGCATTCTAGCAATATAAAAGCCACAGTTCCTACAGCAAACTTCAAAGAGTAGTGATTACACAGAAATTGTGTACCTATGAAATAAAATTTGACAGAGCCATCATTCCATAATCTCCAGCCCAGCAGTACTTTTATCACTACTGGACACAGTGAGATGCTGCTTCATTAACAAGAAGCTTTTAAAGGGTCAGTCACGTTCTTGCCTGTGATGGCTACAAATTAAACTAGAGTCAAGTAATCAAGAGGAATTTGATCCTTTCACCCCCTGGCAAGTCTTCAAGCTCTACATGAGCCAAGCCTCTACTTCTTTTGGTAATACAGATTGAAATGAAGAGACCAGTGACAAAGCACAACCTTGGATTTATAAAGAATCACATTCATCAGAGTACAGCCCTGTAGCTTTCAGTGAGTGTAGTTGTACCAGTATCTCCAACAGACCCATGGCCAAAATTTATTCATTTACAGACAAAATTTTGGTAACAGGCTTTTCCCACATATGTGAAATTTAGTAAATCGAATCAGTGTGCAAAAGTCAAAGGTTTCTTCAGAGAAAAAAATGAAGACTTACGAATGATTTGTTCATGGCACGTTTTACTTCATCTGTACCATCTGAATAGATTTGCTGGAAGAGTTTATTTAAAGCAGCATCTCCTTCTAATTTCTCATTTTTCTCCTCTTCTTTGATTTCAACTACCAGTTTGTCCCAGTTCCTTGTATAGTGAGACGATGATGGGTATAAGTGCTGGGTATCTGAAAATAGAAGTGTTAGTTAACTAAGCATTTTCTCACTACTTTGAGAGCATCAGAGAACACAGACACAGGTACCTGATGAATCAGAGATGATAATGGGACATCAAAATGCAAATGGACTCCTCTGAACTGATATAAGCATTGCAGAAACAAAAATAAAGGAAACTAAGAAATGCAGAAGTTTATTTTTAGGTAAACAGAATTATGTAATTTTGTTATCCAACATACACACAAAAAGCTGGCCAACAGCAACTCAGATAATTGATATCAAAAAGACATATTGGCTGACAGAAAAAAAAAAAAACAAAACAGCAGCCTAGAGCCACAGAATAAGTTGAGCTAAATTTAAAAAAAATCTGAAATCAATACATCAGGAAATTCAAATTCTGTCAAAGACAGAATGTTTATCTGTATTGAAAAACCCCAATGTATTAGTCTCCAAGCGAAATCCAGTACTTAGGGAAACAGTAATTATTTAAGCAACAGGTCACATAACATACAACTGCTGTCTGGGTCTGGCCAGGACAGAGTTAATTTTTTGCAGTAGTGGTGAGGCATGGGGCCTGAAGCTCAGTGGGCCAGGCCAGGATGATACTCTACAACAGGGCAGATCATTGCTGGGGTGGGATGATCTGTGCATCCCAGAAGAAGGGTAGGGCTTCCAGTCAAGAAAAAGGTGTGGGGAGAGGGACACCATCCATCCCCTGGTCCTTGTCACCGGGGTCCACTGGTGCATTTTGCATGTAAATCACTCTCTCTTTTGTAGCCTTTTGTTATTAATGTTGTTGCTGTTACTGTTTGCTTTCTAATTTAATTGCTCTTTCAAGTAAACTGTTTTTATCTCAACCCTTCAGTATTGTGCCTCCAATTCTCAACTCCATCCCACTGCAGTGAGAAAGGGGAGGGGAAAGGAGAGCGAGACCTCGATGGTGTCCTTTGGGAGGGTCCCAATGGGGCACTGAACTGGGAGGTACCAGTCCTAAACCACAATGCACACACTTAACAACGTACAGAACTGCAAAACAGAGACCCAAGCAGATAGGCAGAATTAATGACAAGCATATATATCCTTAACAATTCATCAGATTAACAGAGGTTATGACTAAATTTAATACCTATGTTTCACTAATGGCTTGCAGATTTTCTGTCAATTCTTGACAGAGTGAAACCAAGACAATTGGGCTTTTCATTGCAAATATGAAGCTGTGATTTTATAAACAATATTTAACACAGAACTATTATTAATAACTGTAACTCACACAAATAAACCATTTAATACTAAATAGTTCAGAGAACAAACCTGGTGTAAATTGTTTTAACTTAGGAGAATCTCCCTGGCCCTCCAGCTTCTCCCATCTTACAGCCTCTGGCTTCTTCATTTTTATCTCAACCTACAAAACACAAGACAAAGAACAAATTAATCCATATGCAAACAATTCTGCCATGCAGCTCCAAAGTAGTTGGATCCTGTAGCTATAAGAAATTACAAACATTTGGTTTTAGAAACACAGCCTCTAATATGAAACCTGTATCACAGCCAAATTTACCTACCTTACAAGACAAAGTTACTTGAGTTCAAGTCACACATCAAACAAGCTCCCATGTGCCTGTGCAGCTTTTGTATCAGACTTCTACCTTTCTGTTCAGGACCACTTAACTTTCTTTTACTTACTATTCACTTCATTCTTTTTGTAAATTATGGCATCCCAAAGGTAATGATCAGTCCCAAAGTCTCTACACTGCCAGGCTCCAAGGTATTGCCTTTCAAGCATCCCTTTCTTGGCAGTCAGCTCTAATAAGCAGCAGTTTTGAAAGACTACAAAATCCAACTTTATCTAAGTTTACATTTCATTTACCAAAAAATTCCATGTTTGATGTGTACTACACAAACCAGAGAAACACCCTGGGACTATGCAGATCTTCCCACTGGAGAAATTCAGAAGCTGTATTCATTTGGTTCAATGAACAAACACTGCTATGGAGAAAATTGTCAAGTATTCATTGACAAAACTGGCAATTAAAAATGGATGTGGTTGCAATTACCATAGGAGAAACAAAATTAAGTGAAGTATGTCATGCCCTATTCACAACTTCACATAATCCCTTTAGACAACCACACTGAAATGTTTTTTTTTCATAATTAACCTTCTCCTTTGGTTATAAGGTTACAAGGTTTCAAAACAAGGACTGTCTAACGTCACTCCTATTCACTTAAGGAGATGTCACAAAGCTCATATGATGCTATTAATTAACTGAAATCAGTGCTTGCTAAACTTCAGTGCTTCCTTATTTGCAAACAGCTCAGCAGAAGCAAGTTCTTAGCTCCACCTAAAGCCACTACAACCTGGGGATCCCTGCAGACCCAAGAACAAAGGCACCACTGTAAAAGCTAACCTTAGATTCAAACAGCAAGCTCATTGCACAGCATTATGTTGATCTGAAATTTGAACTTTATTTAATCCATTGTTAAATCAATCACTGGTAAGCAACAGACTGAGGTATCTTACCAAAATATAAAAAATTAGCTCACTGAAGTTTTAATGCTTCCATGTTTGCAATCACAATGAATTTTAAGAAACAGAATATTCAGTTATGAATGTTTCTTTTTTTTTATCCCTCAGGAAGCTAAAAATTCCCAAGTTTAAATACTTCTTTTCCACCACTAACATGTACTGAGAACAACAAAAAGTTTAAGGTAAGAGGCATGAAAAGCAGGTGAGAGCTTCAGTAAACTTCTAAGTCCAACACTCACATGTCCAAATGCCACTCCCTGCATCTGTGGGATTTTTCAATACTTTCAGCCACTTGACAAGTCACAAATTAGGCATCAGAGTATCCGTTTTGAAAGTAACATCACAGAACCAAAAATAACCAAATAAAGTCAAAATGCTGTTAGTCTGGATGACCAACCTACCCTCCCTGAAAAAGGCCTGTATTTCAGAGTTGATTATCGCAATCTGTACGGACGCAGCGATTTCTGTTAAACTATGCAGAAGAATTACTCTTCAGTAAACCAAAAGAAGTCAGTAAAGCTACCTCCACTGGACTCTTTTAAAAACATTTTGAAAATTGCAACCTTGAAGTTCATTCTTAGCACCTACACTCATAGATCTAATGCTCTGTTATTAGCTTAAGGAAGCAAAACATTTGAATATCTACATTTAAGACAATCAAGTAGTTCCACAAGTGGCAGAACTAGCAGGTTTTCTTTCCCCAGAGGATTTGGATCTCCTGAGCCAAACATTTAAGCTAATTAGCTACTTAGAAAGGAACTAATTAGTTACAAGTGAACATGAGTATTAATTTAAAACCACTCTCCTCTGTTTCTTATATAAACTCTTCTCAACTGAGGAGATTATTATCGACTGAGTTGCACATTTCAGTTGAGGCTCTAAAGTTAAGATTTTATACTCTACTTATCAGTGCATCTCCCAACATGTTTTAGGGGAGGGGGGGAGGAAAGCAGATGCTTGAAACTGCTCTCCCCTGTATCTCTTCAATTTCTGTTTATTTTTTCTTTCACTAATTCTTCGTGCCCTTACACTTCAGGCTTTCCCACCAATACCTTCCAGTATCTCAAATACAGCTTATTTCATCCACACCAAAAATGACCTCTAATGCAATATAATGCTTGATGTGAGCTACTAAACATGGACTGTTTTCTTCTCAGAATACAACCCTCCTCAACGAATCCTTATAAAGACCATTGGCTATTCATCACAGTACTCTGCCCATGCATAAAAAGAAGAAAATAAGGAACAACTTTAGTTTTGCTGCTCCAGTAATCCCCCTTCTTTTCTAATCTACTAGCCCTTACATTTTCCTCTCTAAAACTGTCCCTAAAACAGTACTGCACAATAAACAGCCCTAAGGAGAAGCCAATGACACAAACTAATTCCCAGTGTAAGATGCAGATTTCTTAACTCTAAACCATTTCAACCCTGCCAAGCTGGAAGTGCACACAGCTGAAGAACTGAGACAGAATGTATTTCTGACATGATTAAACTTCTACTCTGTCTACTACATCCACTTCAATTGAAGTTACTCATTAGGGGAAGTGGCAGGCAGGAGCAAAGCTAGGGAAATCATTAACTTCATACCATTATACAACCACATTTTCCAAAAATATAAAGCTATAAAGTTCTGCTTGTGAAGGAGCATGTTTCTTCAACTTGAGAGCTCTATTTGATCTAAGAAGGAACAACTCAGTGAGTCCCAATTACATGCACAAATGGCAATGAATGCATTTTAATGAGGTTTTAATACAGATACTGATAGCTATCACACAGAAAAGAAACACATCAGCACAGACATTTATGTCATATCTAGCAAAAAAGTACTGTTAGCTTTTTCCTCTCCTTTGAAAAAAATTCACTTGGGCAAGAGAAATACATCAACGCTTTGCCAACTACTTTGATTCAACATTTATATTTCATAAAACGTATGCCTGTGTGCCTCGTGCCAACTTTAGTATATAAGACAGGAAAATTTAACTGCAAATTAAATGCTCTGCATGCCACCTAAGGACAAGCCCAATTCCTCAGCTTCTCCTTGTAGCTCAAGCTGTGCAACCACCTGACCATGTTGGCAGCCCTCTGCTAGGACTTGCTTCACTACATCAGTGCCTTTCTTGCACTGGTAAGCCTACAATGGAACATGGTACTCCAGATCTAGAAAAAATCCCAATGCAAATATAATACACTTTCTCTTTAAAGTCCCTTGCATTCTGGGTTCAAAGAGAGCAAAGCAAAAAGGAAAAGACCCATGGAATTCATGCACTACTTGTTTGAAATACCATCTTGAGAGAAACCTACCCCTCTGAGAACAGAGTCAAACGAGGGATTTATTGTCTAGAAGAAACACCACCCACAGTGAAAGGACACGGGGAAATTTCTACTCAGAGTTTTCTGGTCATAAAAGTAATCATTTTTTTAAAACCTACCAGAGATTTGTGTATGTTTGTTTGAGGCTTAATCCAAGTGATAGCTATCAGAAAAGGCACCGCAGTTCCTCTCAAAACGTATCCTGAACCATTTCATTGATAGCATAAAAATAAAACAACATCACCTTATTTTAGGATGACTGGCATAAAAGAGTGTTTAATCCAGTTTTAAGAAATAATTTCTCCTCTTTGGAAAAGATCAACACTAGTTAGGCAACATTTATTTTCTTTATTTATTGTTAAAAAGCTGAAACCTCCGATGCTTGATTTCACTTGAACTTTCCTTCTGGGACAGGCAGTGGCAGTCTAACTGAGACACATGAAAAGGGGAAGAATTTTTATCTTCTACCCTAAAAGGAGATTCTGGTGTACACTGATAAACTACAAGGGTTTTTGGTTTTTTTCCTGATTTTTATTGTGTTTTATATTTTACAGTCCATGGTAAGGGCAAGTTCATTTACCACTGGCAAATTTCTGTCAAGGTCTGGTCAAAACTGGCAAAGCTTAAACAACAGTCCAGCCATTAATTTTAAGACATACCAAAAGTACCCTTTTCAATTCTGGTGTTCTGCTGTATTAAAAACCTGAAAACAGGAATTCAGTGTTTCTAATCAGCTACTTTGTTATTTACTGAACTACTGACTGCCTCCTCTGAGTCATAAATTTTAAGTGTTTAGAGCTGTCCTTCTGTGATCATCTCATGAATTTCATAGGATAAAATAGAACAGTCTTCTAAAAATATAACAACTATTCAAATGTGCCTCTAAGAGCACATATGCCTACAGTTTTGGTGTCCTAATTATTCAAAGACCTTTTATATATTGCTTGTACTCTAAATTCCAAGACTTTTGGTCCATAACTTTAAAAAAATATGTTAAGATGAAAATAATTCTACAGTGTTATCACATACAATGATAATTAAGAAATTTATTTTATATGGAGTATACTGCAACAGAAGGGATTTATTTATTTCTTTGCCAGCTATGTGCTATGGGGAACTGGAGGGGAAAAAGGTTCAAGTTTCCTCTAACTGATATTACATAGCCAACACAAAGTTTTTAAATTTTAGAAGAGAAGCTAGCAACAGAGATCATTTTGGTATTCTAAAGCTATTTGTCACTTTATTCTCCATGTAAACCATCATTATTCCAATAGTTCTCAAGACATAAACCCCCTTATGCATCATTTTCTTTTATGCATTTATATAAAGCATGGGCACTGACTTATATGTGTGTATAAAATAGTAGTTCTCAGAGTATTACGAAGTTTAAATCTGTCTCAAATCCATCTTCATTCATACAGAAGGAAAAGAAGAAAATCAAACTTATTGTTCAATATGTAAACATCACACCAATCATAGAAGAAGAAACTGCTCCAACTAGCCCTGCCTAAAAGATGCAAGAAATTTCAGAAAATTATCCATTCACCTTAAATATTAGTTTATAATTT